TCTTATCATTGTCATCCTGCAGATAGCCGCTCGGGCAGATCGGTGTTCATCCAAGTTCGAATGCACTGCCGCCACATGCTCTGTGACTGCTTATTCGTCAGGCCTACGAGCTTGCCTATTTTGCAGTTACCTCTCGCCGAGTGCCATTCTACTATCCGCCACCTATGAAAACATCGGGTAATTGGCAGTTAGAAAAATGGACTGTACCCGTCTTCCCAAAGTTCCTTGTCCTTCAGAGGGAATGGATAAAATACGGTTGATCTACGGACCTCAGAGAATGGCTTCAATTTTGCTGCGTCCAACGATTCTGATCGTTCCAACTGCCTTTATTGGGCGCCTGGATAAACATCTGGTCACCCGGTGCTCAAAAATGGACATGATAAAATCAAATCTACTATAGATCTGGCTCCGCAAGCTGTGCCTAACATCTTCGCTCTTGAGCAAATTCACTTGCTTTCTGCCGGCGTTCATTTTGCTAGTGAGACCGTTTGCGTTCAGCCAGGTTCGGTGCCGCCACGTTCAAACTTTCGTGAAGGGATACTGGTTCTATGACTGAGCAGAGTAAATCATCGTTTTCAAGACGATATCGCCTCCCGATATGCGCATGGTTCAGTCGTTGCCAGTAACGAAAGCGGATGTGCGTCTATGTCGCTTTTTTGTAGTGTTGGTGATGATGAGGTTGTGCTTCATAACGGGAGAATTCCCCCGATGATAAAATTTCCCTCCCAGGTGGCGCGGTCTGCGTCTAAAGGTGCAACTAATTAGTCGAAAATTTGTCCGGCTTCAGCACCGAATCGCAGAGGACGTGCAGATCTTCGTGGATCTTGTTCTGCACTATCATTTCACCATGCTTCCACTGGTGGGCGTGTGCTGCTCGCAATTCGTCAGGTTGTACTTGTGCAGAGAAACCGATGTTGCTGCAGAAGGATATGCTTATGTTGTGTCGTGCCAATTCGTGAGGGGCCGACCGTTCGACCGTCGGTTTCGACGAGTTCCACCGTGTGGTCCACAGCATGGTGGTGCAAGGACGGTGACTTAGGCGTGGATTCGTTTTAAGTGATTGCAGACTTGCGTTTCATCTACCACACTTTCGCTTTTCACGGCCAACCGAGCCTGATGTCAAGATAAAGGTAAGAAGACCGGAAGCGAAATCGGCCACAGACGTCCGGAACCACCACATCTCACACAGCTGGTACCATAAAGGCCA